GAATGACCCGGTACTCTAGAGAGGCAGGAAGTTGTTGTTCTGGTTGGTTCTTCAGGTTTAACTGACTCCAACAGTCTGAACTCTGCCCCGGTGCATTCTGGGTAACTGGGTTCTGAACTCTGATGTGGACCTGCAGCTTTGACACCAGCTGAGCTACTTGGTTTAACCTGTGGAGCTTCAGGTGAGTCGCACCTGCTCGGTCCGTGAGCTCAGCTCTGATTGGTCAGCGGCTACATGAACAGCTCTCAGCTCAGCACTCAGCCGCGTAGCCTGAAACACCACAGAAGAAGAAACGTCAGCCAATGAGACGAGTCCCAGGGACCAAAGGAGGAACCCTGTTTGTTTTCAGACTCACCACAGTGGTTTTACCGACAGCAGGCGGCCCGAAGAGCAGAACCCTGGGAACTGATCACAGCGCAGCGTTAATCATCAGGTTATAACGACTGTGTGTTAATCATCAGGTTATAACGACTGTGTGTTAATCATCAGGTTATAACGACTGTGTGTTAATCATCAGGCTGATTTGTTTCGTCTGTGTAGAATCAACGGTTCTGGTCCAGACGCTGATCGTTCACTGATCCTGAGATCTTTACATTTCTCCAGTGGTTCTGTTTCCTGATTCCAGCTGATCTTATTGCCAGAACTGAGGTGACGGCGCCATCTAGTGGCAGCAGCAGGTCACTGACCCACAGAGCAGGTTCTGCTGAAAAGCTGCTGACGGACAGAACCTGCTCACAGTTCTTGTTCTACATTTATGAATGCCACTTTAACACCAAACCTGCATGTCAATGTCTCTGACAGGAACCAGAACCAGAACCTGATTAACACACAGAACCCATCAGGAACCAGAACCAGAACCTGATTAACACACAGAACCCATCAGGAACCAGAACCTCACCCTCCACGCTGGTCCTCTGCAGCCGATCGATCAGGAAGGAGATCGGATCATCAGGCTGATCGATCAGCAGGTCGGACACCAGAGTCTGGACACAACAACACAGAAACACTCGGTGTGGAACCGTTCTAAGGCGGAACCGTTCTAAGGCGGAACCCTGCAGCCGCTGTACCTGCACCAGGTGTGTCACGTTGTGTTTGTCGGCGTAGACGAACATCTGAGGAGGAATCCTCACAGGCTTCACCGTCTCATCCATCAGCAGGACGGAGCTCTTTCCTCCTGAGGTCAGTGAACGCAGCACACAGTCAATCAGAACCTGGACACCTGAACACACCTGCTGGAAGAAGGTTTGTTCTGCTCCGGTTCTTAATTCTGCCTTATTGTATGAACATCTGACTGTTTTACTGTCATCTGTTGATTTGCTTAAAACCCTCCATGATTGTATTTCATGACTTTTCTTTACGTGCTTCGCTGCAGCTGCTCAGTCAGTCGTCAACTTTTAAATTAATCACAAACTATTTGAATAATCCTCTAATCAGTCTGAGTCATTTTTAACAGAAAACTGTCTAAAACTCTGTGGTTTCAGCTTCTTCAGTGAGTATTTTCTGGTTTCTTTCCTCTGTGACGCTAAACTGAACATCTTTGGAATAAACAAGACATTTGAAGAAACTCTGATCCACATGTTTCACTGTTTTCTGACATTTTAGAACCAAACTGATGATCGATTCATCCAGAAAATGACCCGCAGATTCATTCGAGCAGCTGAGCAGTAAAAAACTCAGAAAGAACGTTTTTCCTGAACGCAGCACTGAGAGCAGCCGTTAGCCTCGTTAGCTTCCTTAGCCTCGTTAGCTTCCTTAGCCTCGTTAGCTTCGTTAGCATCCCCGCAGCTTCTTACCCGACTGTAGTTCGTGATTTTTTCTCTGAGGCTTCAAACACAAGCGTCTCGTTTTAAACTCGAACCTTAAACTGAACTTCAACTCCAGCAGAGTGGTTTAACCGCAGAAACAGGAAGCGACCTGCAGCAGCTGTCTGTGCGTTTGTTCCCGACCGACCGTCGTTAGGACGCGTTCGCTGGTTGCTAAGGAATGACGTCATCGGCGGGAGATTTTTTTATTTTTTTTTTAATTTAAAAACTTGAAGCAAGAATTTACAGAAATGTTCACAGACATGATGCAGACACACAACAGCTGCACAAGCACAGCAGACAGGCTCAGCAATAACTGTAAGGTGGCGGGTGTCAGCGGTCGGTACCGGCTCGGTTCTGGTCCGAACCTTCACATCTTCCGTTTCTGGCTCTCTACTGAAGGAAACACGTCAGAGCGTTTTCAGATAACAGAACTTCAGCACATAATGTTAGCTACACCTGATGCTAAGTTAGCAGCTAACAGCAGCTGTATGGGTATATCTAATGCTAGCCTAGCAGCTAGATTTACATTAGCTACAGCGCCTGTGTGTGTACATTTAATTCAAAGTTAGCAGTTGCTATGTTAGCCAGGGCAGCTATATGAAAACATCTAATGCTTAGCTAGCCAATAGCATCATAGAAATTGCAGTAGCTGCATGGGCATGTCTAATGCTAGCTTATCAGTTATCATCAGGTTAGCCACGGTAGCCGCCCGTTAGCATGATATAAGCTGCAGTAGCTGTATGGAAACATCTAATGCTAGGCTAGCCAATGGCATTATATGAATTGCAGTAGCTGTATGGAAACATCTAATGCTAAGCTAGCCAATAACGTCATATAAATTGCAGTAGATGTATGGACATGTCAAATGCTAACTTAGCAGTTATCATCAGGTTAGCTACAGTAGCTGTATGGATACATCTACCCCTAAGTCAGCTGCTAACAATATGTAGCTACAGCAGCTGAATGGGCAGTCCATTCACCTAATGCTAAGTTAGCATCAGCTGACATTGCTTGTAGCTCTTTAATTAAAATGAAATATGTTAATGAAACATGAGCTCATCTGTGAACGTGATCAGCGGTTTGAGGACTACAGCTCCCATGATCCCCCACTGCTGCACCACACACATTTGATGCAGAGGCTCATCAACAAACTGCAGACAGACGCAGAGTTTAGATTCTTTATTTTTCTCTTCACAGTTGGTCTCTTCAGGCAACAAGTTTCTGAGTGAAGCAGCAACATGAATGAGGGAAAGTTGCCGTGTTTAGTTGCATCTCAGCAGTTAAACAGAGAATCTTTGGTTTGTCAGCATCACACTGCAGAAATGATCAGCTGACTCATCGGCTGACTAAGTCTTTTCATTTTCCTGTTTTTTCAGCATAAAGCTGAACCACTTTGTGCCTTTCAGGTTCTCAGTCATGAAAACAATCATTCCTACAGCGACAGTTCATGTTGTCATCATCCGGCCTGTGACATCACAGAACCGCGAGCTGATCAACCAGCACTGATCATTAACTGATTAACTGATATCAATTAACTTATTGATACAAAAATAACCAAAAACTATTTTCATCTTGTGAAACAATCAAATGAAAAGCTTCAGTCAACTGAACATCTTTGGGTTTCAGGACGTTTGCAGACGTCAGCTTCTGATCACAAACCAATTAATCAATAATGCACCTGGAGTTTCTGAGCTTTGAACGTGAGCAGAACTCGCCAAACCTTCAGTGTGCAGAAACCACGTGAGCACAGTTCCTCTGACTCTGACTGGACTTGAGCGTGCAGGTGAGTTCACGGTGACGTCACCTGTTCATGTTAATGCGAATGTTACCTGGAGCTGGACTGGGCCGCTGCTCGTAGTCGTTTAATCTCAGCTGCTGACCTCTGAGCTCAGATTTCGCCTCAAGCTGTTCACATTTAGTCAAACGGTCACATTAAAGCAGCAGAATCATCAGAGCTTCTGTCTGCAGGACGTTGTTTACACACTCACTGCTCAGTGACACAGAAGGAAGCTAAAAACAGACAGATTCTCTATGGAGTTCTGAACTGTGTTTCTCAGCAGATTCCTGGAGGTTTATTTGTGTTCATTGGACATTTTATCCTCCAGCTGATCCTGTCAGCCTGAAGCAGCCCATCAGCTGGTTACTGAACAGAAGGCTGGTAAATTAGGAGTGAAACAGAAAACGTAAGGGGCCGAGTGTGGAACCCTGAGGAACCCCATGTGTTCTGAGTCTGTAAAAACATGAAGGAAGCAGCTTTAAAGTGAATAACGTGAGCAGTGATTTAGCTTCCAGAGTTCCACTGAATTCTGGTTGTAGTGTTTGATGCTGCGACGCCACCTTCATGGTGCTGCAGCTTCTTTGTAAATTCAGCAACAGTCAAACTGGATGATTTCTCCCCTTTTTCTTCCCTTTAATGAGCTGAAAACATAAAACTGGACCTTCAGTCGCAGTTATTCTCCTGTTTTCGCTCATGTTTTTGGCAAACACCTGCTGATCTCTGTCAGCTCCTCCTCCCCGCCTGGCTCCTCCCCCACACCTCTTGGCCCCGCCTCCCTCCGTCAGAACTCGGGCAGCGTCTCGTCGTAGTCCATGATGCTCAGTTCGTGTCTCCTCTGGCGGACGGCGAGCGTCAGGTCTGGAGCTGCAGCCCGACTCAGAGGCTCCGTCTGGGGGCTGCCAGCGAGGAGGGAGGCCTCCTCCTCTACCTCCTGACCCAGAGGAGGACTCCCTGGTTGGGCCTCCTCCTCCTCCTCCTCCTCCTCCTCCTGGCTTTGATTGGGCAGCTCCTCCTCCTCCTGGCTCTGATTGGTCAGCTCCTCCTCCTCCTGGCTCTGATTGGTCGGTCTGAACAGCTGCCGAGCTCGCTGCTCCAGGAAGGAGCCGACGGCCAGGGGGGAGTCGATGGGGGAGGAGGAGCAGGAGGGGAGGTGCAGGGGGGAGGTGGACAGCTCCTCCACAGTGCCGTTCAGGATACTGACAGCAGAAGAAGAAGAGGGGCGGGGCCTGTTGCCCTGAGCAACAGGGAGGGCAACGCTGCCGCCGTTTGGCCTGAGAAGAGAGAGATGACATCACATCAAGCATCCAATCAGAAGTCAGGATGCAGACGATCCACAGAAACAGGAAGTACTGTCCCGTCCAATAGGAGACCTTGTCAGGGTGTCACATGACGGGTCAGTTAACAGGTGACTTGACAATAACCAGCTGACTAATCACCTGCTGCAGACGTCCTGCTGGGTGTCCAGGTGCATCTGACTGTACAGGTGAAGCATCTCCGTCTGCAGCGTCTGATTGGCGCTCCTCAGAGCGACGCAGCGGCTGTCAGAGGCCGACAGCTCCGCCCTAAACAAACAAACAAACACACAAACAAACACACAAACAAACACTAAATATTTCCTCTGCACCTCAGTTTATAGTTTAACCGTCTGAACTGTGAGCAGCAGTCTCTACGGAACCAGAACAACCAGCGTCCATCACTGGAGCTAATGTCGTCTCAGAACCAGGACAAGGAAGGTTCTGGTTCTACAGGATCAGAACCAGGAGGAGGAAAGTTCTGGTTCTGCAGGATCTGGTTAAAATACTCTATTTTGACAATGTTTTAATAGTAGACATAGAATAAAGTCATTTTGATGAAATATCACAACTTTAAACTTTGAGTTAATTTTCTGTACTTCACAAATGATAAGTTCAAGAACCGTCTGAAAGTCTGATGACTCTTTGTTACTTTACAGTTTCTGGCTGGTGTCATAAAAAACAAAACAAAAACATCCCTTCAAACCTGCCCACAGGTTGGAGTTGGAGCATGTTAGGCGGCTAGCGTGTTAGCTGGTTAGCATGTTAGGCGGCTAGCGTGTTAGCTGGTTAGCATGTTAGGCGGCTAGCGTGTTAGCTGGTTAGCATGTTAGTCAGCTAGCGTGTTTGCTGGTTAGCATGTTAGTCGGCTAGCGTGTTGGTTGGTTAGCATGCTAGCCGGTTAGCAGTAAAGCAGGACTCTGACCTGCTCTGGTTCTTGGTGTCCTCCAGCAGTTTCTTCTGGTCCAGGATCAGCTGATCCTTCTTGCTCAGGTGAGCCTCCAGCTCTGAGATCCTGTGATTGGCTGCTTCCAGCTTCTGTCTCAGCTGGACGTCGCTGTCCTTCAGCCTCTGGTAGTCTTTACCCACAGTGCACTGCAGCATGGACGCCTCCTGCACCACACACATCATTATCAAAGGGCTCGGGAGCAGACTGTAGCCTCCACCTCCGCCCCACCCATCAGCCCTGAAGGTTCACATTGGGTACATATTCAACGTCCCACCTGCTGACTGTTCTGCACTGTTCTCTGTGAACGTTTGTGTATCGCCACATTCTCTATCAATTCATGTCGTGTTATTGTGTTTTTTCCCTGCTGCTGACTGCTGCGCGTTTCCACACAAGTTTCATTGTATTTTGCACAATGACAATAAAGCCTCTGTTCTGTTCTGTTATTAAAGCTGGGTCGGTTCTGGTCGGGTTCTGTGTCTGCACCAGTAAACCTGGATTAGCTGCGAGAAAATCACCCAGAGTGCAGTTTAGATAGAACGTCTGCAGTCTGTCCTTAACGATGGGAACATCTCTTGTACTTCATTACTTTACAGCATACTGTAATTAACCTGGTTCTGGTGGTTCTACCAGTCTGTAAACATCACAGAATAAATCCTGTTCTCTTTAGACCCGTGCTTCTGTGTCCTCCTCCTGAGGTTCTTACGGAGCAGTGCTGCGTCTCTCCTCCCTCCAGCTGATCCGACAGAACCCGGTTGGCTTCTCTGAGCAGGACGAGCTGCTGGTTCTGCAGGAACATCTGCTGCTGCAGCTGTTCGCTGCTGCTCAGCTGCAACACAGAACACAGACACTGAAGCTTCTGTCTCCCCCTGCAGGCAGCGACAGGAACAACACCAGCTTCATATGTGACAAGTGGAATCGAATGATTTCGATGAAATACCAGGATTCTACGCTTTGGTTTGGGTCATTGTTCTGATGGAACCACACATCACAGATGACTGAGTGATGATTCTTTGGGTTCTACTGTTTCCGGCTGATGAATCCTGCTCACCTTGAGTGACAGCTGGGTCAGCTGGTGTTCAGCATTATACGCCTTGTTATTGGCTCTCTGAAGCTCCGCCTCCAGATCCTTCAGCCTGCTCTGACACTCCTGAAGCTCACTCTGAAACAGCCAATCACAGTGCAGAAGGTTGAAAACAGCCAATCACAGATCACAGAATCAACATCAAATTTTTTGCTGATGAAGAAGTGTTATTTTAGTGTGTGTATCAGTGTGTGTGTGTGTGTGTGTGTGTACCTGCAGTCTCTGGTTGTGTCTCTGATCCTCCTGTTGCTGCAGCAGCAGTTGTGTGTTGTGCGTCTGCAGCTGTCTGATGTGTGTCTTTGTGTCGAGCTGCAGCTCAGCGTTTCGTCGCTGTTCTTCCTCTAAACTCGTCTTCAGACTGCGGATCTCGGCGTCCTGAACAGCGAGCAGCTCCTTCTGGAGGACGAGAAGCAGTGGTTCTGTTAGTGGAAGCAGTGATGAAGGCCAGAGTGGGCGGGGTCAGGCTGGCGCGTTACCATGGCGACGCTGTGCTCCTCCAGCGCCGTGGCGTTGATGACTCGGCGCAGCAGGCGGCGGTTCCTGACGGCGTGCTGCTGACGCTTAAAACGCTCGTACTGCAGCTGGCCGTGGACCAATAGGAGCTGACTCCTCACACACTGAAGCTCCTCCCCCTGGGCGGGGCCTGGACACAGAGTTATTATTGTTGAAGGGCCTGACTCCAGCTCTCTGTTGGAGTTCTGTGGAGGCCTCAGCTCTGATACGTGAGCATGTCTGAACCACACCAAGTAGGTTACACGATGACCTCAGCAGGGATGGAGCCACCCTGAACTGTGACCTTTACAGATGATGCTGAACGCTTTACCTGCAGCTCATGAATGTCGGATGGTGACGGGTTAGTCTGGTTAGTTAGAACCAGTTAGAACCAGTTAGAACTTCACTGAATTTAAATCAGTCACAGCCATGATTTAAACTCATGCAGGAACATAAAGCTTCAAACTGCACTCCAACCTGAAACGTTCTAACTCGCTCCACCTTCTGTTCAACAGAACTGTGGAACATCTCAGGCTAGCGGAGAACCTCAGAACCAGAAGAACCAACCGGACACGCTCGGAGACTAACAGCTGACTAAACAACACGTCCTGATTGCAAAAACTGTCACTGAAAAGAAGCTCGACAGGCTTCAGGCCGGTTCTCAGGCTGAAGAGACTAATGTGTTAATGAGGTGAATGGGTGACCAGGTGACCAGGTGAGTCAGTTAGTTTCAGGTACCTTTGGTTCTCATGCTCTGCTGTTTACCTCCAGAAAGACTCCGATCCACCGACTTACTGCCTGCAGAGAACCTGCAACCACAACAGAAGGTCAGACGAAGGCCACCACCTCAGAAGACAAGTTTATACANAATTATTGACAATTATTGTGCTGACCAGTTGTGTGTGTGTGTGTGTGTGTGTGTGTGTGTGTGTGTGTGTGTGTGCAGCTGGGCGTGGTGCAGACGGAGGCCGGCCAGGTAGAGGGGCGGAACCACAGGATGGGTCTGTTCAGGTCTGTAGACGTCTTTAAAGGCGTCCCCTTCGCCGATGTCCCTGGAAAGTGGGAGAAACCAAAACCTCATCCCGGGTGGGACGGTGAGTGAACCTGTGACCTCACCTGGCCGCACTGTGACGTCACTGGTGGGCGTGGTCACAGGTGTTCCTTTGATTAGAGCCCAGCTGAAGGTCCAACAGGAACACAAATCAAGCATCAGAACCAGTGATGATGAAACAAACTATTGTCCTGCTAACGTTTAGCATCTGTTGTTTAGAATAATTCATATTTGCTACATAAAAAACCAACAGCGGCATTATGTGAATAAACATTTGGATCAAAATCAATAGCTAAAGTAATCTGATTACCAAGTAATCAGATAACACTCGTTGATGAGGTTTAAAAGAATGTCTTTTCTAAAACTCTCCAGTAAATCTGGTTTTGTTGTTTCCAGGAATCTTAAAGGCCACCAAGGCCAGAGAGCGCTGCCTGCAGGTGACGCTGCTGCAGACAAAAACCCAGGGCAGCGAGGACTGTCTCTACCTGAACATCTTTGTTCCACAGGGACGATCATGTACGTANTGTATTAGTACTAGTACTACTGTGTACCTTGAGGCAGCGCAGCAGGGAGGCCAGCAGGGCCGAGCGGCTGATGTGATGAACCCAGGGAGGCTGCTTCCTGATCAGGTGACCCAGCAGGGTGAGACCAGCCAATCGGGTTCCAGGTTTGCTGAGGGACTCATTCAGCTTCTCCAGCAGCAGCTGATGACATCAGAAGCACATCACACATAAACATCATGACTACTTCATCCGGACTACACCTGGACTACATCTGAGACTTGAAGTATGCCCGGACGACACCAGGACTACACTGGGACTGCACCTGGACTGCACTTGGACTGCACCTGTCCAGCTCAGAGACGACATGCTGCTCACCTTGTGATGAGGCTCCCTGATGGAGGACAGGAGGAGAACCGCCTGAGGGGACGAGGAGTCCAGATAAAACTCCACCAGAGAGGAGACAACAGCACTACCTCTGTCTGGGAGGACAAGCTACAGGTCAGACCAGGTGGACACAGGTAAGGACAGACAGGTAAGGACGAGTTAAAGCCACACTAAATCCCTCCACAGGTGAGCTCACCTGTACTCAGCTGCTGGTTGACAGCTGCTCTCACTTGCTCCGCCTCCTGCAGCTCTGAGCTGTCCAATGAGAGCAGGAGCTCACTGATGCTCACCTGCTCCCTGGACATGATGGACACCTGGACACACACAGTCAGGCCTTCAGAGGGACCATCGACTCCTGCAGAAGGAACCTGAAGCTTGACCAACATTAATCTGGCTAAACTAAACTAACTAATCTTAACCTGGCTAATCTTAATCTTAAACAGTAATGTTCTCCTCGACGGTCTGCACCACAGAACCAGTCTTCATATGTTTTGTAGAACCAACACTCCGTCCTCTGCCCATCGCGCCACTGAAACACTCAGCAGCTATCGTCTCTACTGATCCACTGGCAGCTCAACCAGCAGACCACAAGCAGCTCTTCAGGTCAACAGCAGCAGTTAGTAACGTTACTCTGAGTACTTCCAGGTACTTCTACTGTACAATTACTTGTAAGTACTACAAATATTTCTACCTACAACAAATAACTGTGTTGTTGGTTATGGCAAAAATGTGAAACTCAATAAATCTATTCAAAATAAATAAATAAAAACAACTAGACATTTTTTAATTAAATATTTTTATAAAAATTGCAACAATAAAATCTAAATGTCTACGAGGAAAACAAAACTCTTTTGAAAAACTGTCCAAAGCATAAATAATACAGAAACATGACATTTTCCACGTGACCTTATTAAACCTGCTGCAGCGGAGTGTTGCGTAACCTCTCTCTGACGTCACAGCCGCTCTGCAGACAGTAATCTGATTACTGTCACATTCATTTATATGAATCATTATTCCGGAATGCAATAAGCTAGAGACAATGAGCATATAATGAATTATTGGTTCCACTGTGTGTTTGTGTCCTCATAAGGTTCCTGTGGACCTCATGCTGCGTTCAGGGACGTCGGAGAACGGGGCTCTGACCTCCACATTACAATACTTTACTTCCGTTCAAAGTAGAAAAAAACCGACAACTTTCTTTTTGCTTTTCTACGAACTAAAGACATTTATCTACAGACATGACATCCATTAAACTGAACAAACTGAGGAGAAAAAGACGTAAACAGTCCGTGAGCTGCAGTTTCACACGTTCAACTGGTTGAAATCGGAGAAGCTGCGTTCACGTGCCGCTGACTGAGCAGCGGTTGGTCCAGATTCACGGTGAGAAACTTCACCGACTTTACAGTAGGACACTCGGCAGAAAAACGGCATTTCAGGGAGTTTTCCTCCGCTGATGCCAGAAACCCTGATTTTTCCTGAACGCAGCACGAAGTTCAGCTGGGAGCTAACAGTTAGCATGCTAAGCTAACAGCTAACAGGCGAGCCGTCGCTGCGCCGGTGCTCGGTCACCAGCAGGGCGGCGGACAGAGCGGTTGTTTCTGCCGCCTCTCTGCTGGTGACCGAGCACCGGAGCCGGTCGCGGGGCGCACGGAGCTCCGGTCTCACGGAGCTCCGCTCGGTTACCTTCACACCTGTTGATCCGAGCAGAGAGCGGCCATGTCAGCTTCCGCAGGCCCCGCCCACCGCTGTAACACGACACCTCCAGCTGCTGTCAGCCACGAGACGTTCAGGCCGCGGCGGGAAAATAACGACTGGTTTAATTTTACTGAGAAACCGAGACTGTAACGGGCTGCTCAGACCGGGCAGCTTACCGGAAACACCGGGAGAAACCGCCCGAAGTCTTCCGGTAACGGAGCGGATTGACGAAAGGAGGAATGTCAGCAGTAGCTCCATGGTGATTGAAAAGTCCGAGGGTCCGTGAAGGTCACAGCGCTGACAGCTGAAACAGAAAACCTGAACTTTGGTTCGGTTTGGTCGTGAAGCAGCAGCTGACTGGCTCCTGTCTCAGCTCAGAAATATCATGAACGCTGAGCTATTGAGCCACTAATCACACATTATTACCAAAGATCTCCAGAGAACTACCTGCAGGTGTTACATAAGTGATAAATATAATCATCAGCTGCAGAAAGAAGTGAAGAAAGAAGCTCCTAAAACTCTAATGAAACACAGCGAAGAATTAAACAGTCTGCATGGAAAATAAACTATGAAAAAAAACAATAGGTTGTTTATGACAGAAGTTAAAAAAACTAAANTACCTGTATGTGGGAGGAGCTCAGTGTCAGGTTGGCTGGACGTCCTGTGAACAGAAACATGTGGGTTCATTAGGACAGTGGACTTTACCTTCATCACTGACTTAATGCTGATGAAGGTTAACCAGCTCAGAGCAGAATGCACCTGTGAGGAGGTCCAGGTGTGTTCAGGTTCTGATGATACAGAACCAGAGCAGACTGAAGCTCACCTGAGCTGCTGAGTGTCTCTGAGCTGCAGGTGAGTTCCAGGTGAGGCAGCGAGGAGGAGGAGTTCAGATCTTCCTCACAGGACGACTCCAGAGGATCCAGAGACACTCGAGAACATTCGATCACGATGTCGTGGACTTCATAACACCTCCACCTGGGAACCAATCAATCAATACTGACTGCTGCTGATCAGATCCATCGTCAATCAGCTGACTGTTTGTCTTCAGGAGCTCCAGTTTATTTCATGAAGCCCTAAAATGTCATGTGTCTATCTGCTGTTCTGATGAAGTTCTGAGGCTCAGAAATGATGGAAAAAGTCCATTAAAGTGATCAATCTGGACCCTCCTCTGTGGACTTGAAGGACCTGGACCTCTGGAACATTCGCAGTCTGAAGGTAGAACTCTGGTCAGTAGATAAAGGTTCTGCAGAATCAGAACCAGATGTTCTGAGGACAGCTGTAGTCATTTCATCTATAAAGCTGCTTTAGTTTCATTCAAGTGCTTTTCCTCCATTTTAACAGTGAAACAGGTTTTTCACGTTTTCCTTTTAAAGGACTTTAAAGCTGCAGAGATGTTTATCATCTTCAGATGGTCTTTACCAGCTTTGATGTTCTGGTCATGTTTCTGCCTGTTTCGTTTTGAGCGAATGATTTTCTTCTGATGTTGGTTCTGTTTCAGAAACGTTCAGGAGAAACTAAACGTCTGTCGGTTTGGAGTTTCTATTTTATTCTCAGTTTAAAACCTGTTTTTGTCTTTGAAGGAAGCTAACTTCTGTTATTCTGAAGCCATGGCATCATGTCTGCAGCACAGGGTCCATTTAGCAGCGGTTCTGTCTGGTCACGTGGTCCTCCTCAGCAGATGAAGCTGCTCGGACGTGGAACCACACAGAACGTTTCACCCTCTGACCTCCTGTCTGGCAACTCTCAGCTGACAGAACCGTCTGATGAAGCTCAGCTCATGTTGTGACTCTGTGATGTGAAAAGCTGAGCACCTGCAGGTTCTGGTCTCTGCTGATCCAGTTCTACCTGCCGACTCACCTGGACGGGTCCAGTTCATAGTCCTGAGTGCCGGTGACGAGTTCTGGATGAACCCGGACGTGTTCTAACATCGGCTGAAGGACAGACAGACAGACAGGAACCTGTCAGCAGAGCGATCAACAGGAAACAGCTGGACACCTGGATTCATGCAGCCAATCAGGAGGCAGAAGTGACATGCAGGTGCTTCAGCGATTTTATGGAGTCAACAGTCTTTGATCAAACTCAACCAGAGTCCAGTCAGAAACTGACCGATTTAGACT